ACTCAATGGTTTATTTATATATTTATATTAAGTACTATTTTGCCGAATGTGACACGCCTAAGAGGGGGCGACAGTGACTGCGCTTTTTGGAAATGAGATATACATTTACCAATGCGTCTTGGATGGTCCACCTGCATATGATGTACAAGCTCGTGACTTGAACAATCCTTTCTAAGACTACTTTGCATCTGCTTTGTGTAATTTCAGTATTCGAGCAAGAAATGACAGATGTCGCATGCTGAGTTCGCAAAAAGCACCTTTTATAAGTTTTTCTAGAAAACCTCTCTTAAGGTGCAAGCTTCTTATCCCTACTGTTCGGATATTTTTTACCTCATAACCGCGAGTTTTCCAGCGCCAATGTGTCCAAAGTTATATTGCTTATAATAAACTTCTACTCTTCTAAATGAAAGCAGACATAGAGTTTTCCTTTATTATCTGTTTTCCGAACTAAGTGTTACATATTAGATTTGATTCTTAAATAGAATATGCAACATCCGGGCGAAAAGCTTTAGAAAAATATCATCTTCGTGCATCTTTGATTTCGTCATGACTCGCAATAAAAATGCGATACACTCACTCGATAGCTATTCGTCCAGACACAAGCAACACTATGATATTGAGGATCAGGTTCTGCAAAGATGTCGAGGAACTGTGTCTGAAAAGAGCTCCTTAGCTTTTACCTTCTGGCAACTATGGCAACATCAACAAAACTCATTTTCCTAATTAGCTTTCGCTTCATTCGTATTGATGTCCTAATGAAACTATTCTCTAGATTCCAAAGATTAGAATACAGCTAACCCACGAAAGTTGCAAATACCTTGAGATCGTAATTCAAGTGGTTTTGATCACGATTTTCCATATTTAATTGTTGAGCAATTATTTCTTTTGATTTGTTGCAGTTGAAATCGAATGCTGTTTGATGATTTCTTTCTTTCTTCATCGGCGGTTGCGGCATTGGCAATGGAGCTCTCGGCTGGAAAAGGACGATAAGCAGAATTTTTGAGGGCAGTGCGTTATGAAATTTCCACATAGAAGTTCAACATACGAAGTAATTGCCGACTACTGTTAAAATACAAAAAAACGTTTTGTAAATCTAAAAACATTTAGCAACTGTGCACATCAAAGTAGGGGCTTAGGTATTTCTTGGATTATTAAGTCAGATAGCTGTAGTTCCTGGCACTTCTATATAGAAAAGCGCCGAGT